TGATTGTAAAATAAACAGATTTGATCAAGCGGTTTATGAAAAGATAAGAATACACGCCGCCCACATATGTCATAAGGCTCCCGATGGGGCTGCGATCTATCCACCCTTGTATACGACTGTATTCAACTGTATACAAGGGTGGATAGATCGCAGCCCCATCGGGAGCCTTATGACATATGTGGGCGGCGTGTACTCTTATCTTTTCATAAACCGCTTGATCAAATCTGTTTATTTTACAATCATAAGAGAAGGAATCCGTTGCTATCTAGGTACTTAGTATGGACACATACGTGCCTAACGTAGATGCGGCAAGATATCTTAGTTATATAAAAAACAAATCTATCGTTCCCGGGGTACCTAAGATGTAAATAAACTACATACCTTACATGAAGGCGGAATGAATTATAAATGCATTGGGAACCATACGGCACGTTTAGCGGCGGCCAATGTAATCTTATATTAGGTGAAGTAAAAAGTTCTGAGCGTTTTCGGCTAGATGTTTTTAGTGAGCCATATCTCACGATGTATACATCGCATCGGGTCATACTATACGTCAATTTAAAGGTGACATTACGCTTCAAAAAAATTTCTGTGACAGTTTTGTGTTTAGTCAAGGCAGTTGTGTGTTACAGCGTTTCAAAATGAAGGTAAAAAAAGAGAAAATTCGATACATTCTTCAGTACCACTACGACCAAGGTAAAAAGGCGGAGCAGGCGGCCAAAAAAATTTGTGCTGTTTATGGACCCAATACAGTATCGAATGCAACAGCAAAGCGGTGGTTCCAACAATTCTGTTCTGGTAATATGGACGTCGAAAATGAGGCACGCTCTGGTAAGCCAATCGTCGAAAATGTCGGTAAAATCATGGAAATCGTCGAGTCGGACCGGCATGTGAGCACTTATTCCATTGCCCAGGAACTGAAGATTATCCAGAAAACCGTTTGGAACAATTTGCATAAGGCTGGTCTCAAGAAGAAGCTCGATGTATGGGTGCTACACGAATTGACGCAAAAGAACCTTTTGGACCGAATTGATGCCTGCGATTCTTTGCTGAAACGTAACGAAATCGACCCATTTTTGAAGCGGATGGTAACTGGTGATGAAAAATGGGTCACATACGAGCACAACAGTCGAAAAAGATCGTGGTCCAATTGCGGTGAGCCGGCCCAAACGATCGCCAAGCCCGGATTAACGGCCAAGAAGGTTTTGTTTGTGTTTGGTGAGATTGGAAAGGAATCATCTACTATGAGCTGCTCCCATCGGGCCAAACACTCAATTCGGACCTCTGTTGTCAACAACTGACCAGATTGAAGCAAGCGATCGACCAGAAGCGGCCAGAATTGGCCAATAGGAAGAGTGTTGTGTTCCATCAAGACAACGCCAGGCCGCACACATCATTAACGACGCGCCAGAAGCTCCGAGAGCTTGGATGGGAGGTTCTATTGCACCCACCGTATAGTCCAGATTTGGCACCAAGCGATTATCACTTTTTCAAGCATTTGCAAAATTTTCCTGATGGTACAAAACTGGCCTCAAGAGAGGCTTGTGAAAATGAGCTGGTCAAGTTTTTTACCAATAAGGACGAGGACTTCTTCAATCGCGGAATTATAAAATTGCCTTCAAAATGGACAAAAGTTATCGAACAAAACGGCGCATATTTAATCGAAATCGGATAATTCTAACTATGTTAATTTCATCGCCGAAATAAAGCGAAAATACGCTCAGAACTTTTTACTTCACCTATATATTTGTTATAGTAACGTTTACCCGAAATCCGTCTGTTTCTTAATCATATAATTAAAAAGAGAGTTTCATAGTTTCCGGGACACCCAGGACGTAATACGTATAACTTAATGTAATACAATCGGATTTAACTTGGCAAGAACGTTTAACATATCGGTATGGCGAGAAAAACAACATTATATAATACAAAGAAGATAATCATTACGCAGTGTATGTGTGTGTTTTAAGGAGTGAAGTGGGATTGGAGATTGGATTGAAATGATTAAAAGGCATGTTTAAATATGAAATAGAAACTTACGATTTAGGTGAATCGACTGTGGTAAATAGTACGTAGAACATGAGTTCGTTGATGTACACTACGTGGTATACTGGATTTCTGGGATCCCGAAATACCGAGAAAAATGGTTTACTTAAGAGATCCCGACTTGGACTGCGCGTTACTCAGCAGCAGAACAAGAAGAAGAAAAATGATTGACTCTGGAAAGATCCCGATTTGGACAGCAAGTTGTTCAGCAGCAGAAGGGGAAATGGAAATGACTGACTGACAGTGGAGTGGACAGAGAGTAAGGTTTTTTTAGGGAAGATTTTGGGGAGTGGCAGATGACGATCGCCAATGAGAGAAGTTTTCGTGGAAAACGGATATGGAAGATTGGAAAACGGGTACCATGGAAAACTCCTAATATTATCAGGATGTCATAAACAATCCCAAGAATGTAATCCTATCAAAGAGCTTGAGTGCGGCCGACCATGTATGAAGGTGGATAAGATGATAGACGTTTTGGGAAACATACGACGCATTTGGCGGCGTATAATTTTAGCGTTTGCCCAAATCCGTCTGTTTTCCAAATCATAAAACAAGAATTCGTTGCTCCCGAGGTACCCAGGATGTAACAAACCACATATCTTATGTGAAGGCGGAAAAAGAGATAAACGCGTTAGGAAACATATGGCGCGTTTAATGGCGAGCCATCGTAATCTTATCCTTTTCACAATAGCGCTTACCCCAAATCAGTCTGCTTCCTAATCATATTAAAAAAAAGGAATATGTTGTTCCCGAGATACCCAGGACGTAACACTAGGATAGATAGCGCTAAGCACAGCAATTGGCCTCGTTTTCAAAGAGGAAATCGAAGGCAATGATAAAGAAGAATTTATGGAATTATTGTGTAATTCCAATAAATATTTCTGTGAACTAATGTATCAGTTATTGATCATTCAAAGAATATATGTCAGCTCCTATGTAAGTGAGAAATGGAGACCATTGCTGGAGAAAACAGAAGCAGGAGAGGAGAATTATACGATGATTTAGTAAATAAAATCAAGGCGGCCAATACAACAGAAAAACTCGGTCTGTCATTGAAAACTTCCACAGGAAAGAAGATGTTGTTCAACTGAAACCTAATTTAAACTGGAAGAGCCCATCTGTAAGACATTTAAAGGCTCCTTAAGTGGGCTATCAGTTCACACTTTACCAAAGGTACCCGGAAACGTTGAGAAGGTTGGCCACGAAGAATATACGAACCCTTCTGCAAGGACAGACCAGAAGGCACGTCCCACTCAGCACCACCCGAAAATAGTTTCGGTAAGCAAAGTAGCAAGCGGGTTATATGCATTTAGGCAGGCTTGGTCTAAAATTACATCAGATCCTGTAATTATGGAAATAATCTCGGGGTACGATATTCCGTTTGTTTCTATGCCTAAGCAAAAAACATTGCCATATAATTCAT